TTAGCTTAATTACAATTAAGTCAATTAATTTGGGAGAGAAAGGGGGGGGGGGAGGTGGGGGGTGGTCAGATATAGTAGTATGTCTGTCTGTCAAGTCAATTAAATTGGGGGGGTGGGGGTAAGTAGCTCAAAGGAGGTGACAAATATGAATATATTAGCCAAATGTCTGCACATTTTCAGAGTGATTTCCCATTCAGTCTACCATCTGTGTGAACCGAATCTAGCCTTGTTTCAATGGCAAGGGCTCATTTCTACTGGAATACTGCCACAAGTAATGGTTGGTTAAGAGAGGTTCTGCAATATTGCCATTAGTGATGGTGAATTTAGACAGGTTCTGTTGTAATTTCGGCACAAGAAATGGTCAGTATAGACAGGGTCTGCTGTAATATTGCCACAAGAAATGGTCAATGTAGACAAATTTTACTTTATCACACAATTTATTTTAATATTTATAGACAGATTCACATACATTTAACAGCAGGCAGCCATCTCCTCTGTCAGCTATTACAGAGATATCAAAAGGTGACTTCATCAACAACAGATAAAGCACTTTACAGCAGCCAACAGATACATACTGTACATATATGTCTATAATCAGGGGTGTCTGGTCGAGAATGATTCATTACTGGTCTGATCGAAACACACCATACATAAACATATACCACCAGCTACAACAAGAATACAAAATTCCCTGATAATGGTGACACTGGGCACATACAGATGAAATGTCTGTACAATAAGAATACAAAATTCCCTGATAATGCACTGTGATAGTAAATACATGTGTACCTGGTAATACCTGTCTGTGATAGTTAATACATGTGTACCTGGTAATACCTGTCTGTGATAGTAAATACATGTGTACCTGGTATGATGACACTGGGCACATACAGATGAAATGTCTGTACAATAAGAATACAAAATCCCCTGATAATGATGACACTGGGCACATACAGATGAAATGTCTGTACAATAAGAATACAAAATTCCCTGATAATGGTGACACTGGACACGTACAGATAAAGTGTCCATATACAACGACACATACAAAATTCACTGATAATCGTGACACTGGACACAGATGAAATGTCTATACAACAAGAAAACAAAATTCCCTGATAATGGTGACACTGGACACCGATAAAATGTCTATACAACAAGAATACAAAATTCCCTGATAATCGTGACACTGGACACGTACAGATAAAGTGTCCATATACAACGACACATACAAAATTCACTGATAATCGTGACACTGGACACGTACAGATAAAGTGTCCATATACAACAAGACATACAAAATTCCCTGATAATGGTTACACTGGACACCGATAAAATGTCTATACAACAAGAATACAAAATTCCCTGATAATCGTGACACTGGACACGTACGGATAAAGTGTCCATATACAACAAGACATACAAAATTCCCTGATAATCGTGACACTGGACACGTACAGATAAAGGGTCCATATACAACAAGACATACAAAATTCCCTGATAATGGTGACACTGGTCACATACAGATGAAATGTCTGTACAATAAAAATACAAAATTCCCTGATAATGGTGACACAGGGCACATACAGATGAAATGTCTGTACAATAAAAATACAAAATTCCCTGATAATGGTGACACCGGACACAGATGAAATGTCTATACAACAAGAATACAAAATTCCCTGATAATGGTGACACTGGACACGTACAGATAAAGTGTCCATATACAACAAGACATACAAAATTCCCTGATAATCGTGACACTGGACACGTACAGATAAAGGGTCCATATACAACAAGACATACAAAATTCCCTGATAATCGTGACACTGGACACGTACGGATAAAGTGTCCATATACAACAAGACATACAAAATTCCCTGATAATGGTGACACTGGGCACACAGAGATGAAATGTCAGGTCAAAATTCACAGAATATGTTGACACCAAACACACAGACAACCAGACCATTATTGGGTCAAACTTCACTGATTATATTGACACCAAATAACACACAGACAATCAGGCCATCATTAAAATTCACTGAAAATTTTGACACCAGCTGACCGTAAGGCCAAAATTCACTCAAAATGATGACACCAGTCAGCAGGGACACCTATATATATAGACCTACTTTTTACAGACAAAAGTTCACTGACAATGTTGATACCACGTACACTTGTAAGCCAAAACTTGCCGATGGTGTCATGGCCAGATCTCCGTGTTGCCTACTGTTTCTGCCACTGTTGTCGAAATTGATCGAGTATCGGTGTGGACATTTTGTCAGCCTTGCCTGTTGTGAGGACTGCAGCTGTCAAAGCTAATGAGTTCTCTGTCTGTATTCCGTGTTAGCTTCCTTTGATATTAATCTATTAGGTGGGATTAATATTTTCTGCTTGAATGGATCACTTCAAAACTCATCTGCCATTGTCACGGACGGAAACATTTTCTGAAATATTGATAGATTCTAGATATGTTTGGAGGATGGTTTCGTGCTTCAGATCTTTAGCCAATTCAACTGACAAGTACATGTACTTATGAATTAATTTCCCTGCAGTATCCTTCTGTTGTTCAATCAGTTTGTCCATGAATGCTTGTCCTATTTATCCAACTATACAATTTATGTTACAAAAGGTTTGCCTTACTCTAGATCTAGAAATCAGTTCCTTGGTTTCTTGTTAAGAATCCCTGTACCGCTGCCAAAAACTGAATCTACAACGGTGTTCCGAGTGGAAAAATGCAACAACTGGCCAGACTAGGATTCAAACTCCAGACCTTGGATCACTTAACTGTCATTCTTATCATCCCTAGCCTAACTCAGCCATAGTTACATCCTAAATGAATAATTGTAGATGAAAATGGCTGTAGAACTGTCTAGTGGTTTGCCTTCAAACGGTCCTCATATGACCCTGGCTGTTGTGAGAATGTTAAAGAGGTCACAGTGACCAAGTTTTAGTGTGAAACACACACTTTCCCATTCTGTACATATATACATTAAACTCCAAACAAACAAAACAACTTTTTGTCTGCAGTGTGACAGGGATCCATATATAAGTCATTTAGATATTTCTGTCACCCACTACTGTAGGCTAATTATAAATGTTAACTCATTCACCCCTGAAGACACATTTGAACTCTTCCTATGCAAAGGTTGGAATAGTTCATTGTGAAATTTCAGGGGTCAATGAGTTAATATATCATTGTCATTCATGGTACCAGCAGTCTCAACTTGTCTGATGGAGAACATCAGATGAATCTGTCATCAGAATAGAGTGTTTTGAAAGTCTCGTAATAATTACGCAATGTAGAAGTTTTTCTTAGAAATGTGAACAACAATGTATTAAGCAATGTATGTGTGTCCTTGTGGTAGTTTTAAGTGCTTCCTGATAAAGTAATATACAACAATACTCACAATTTAAATTCACAGAAAGAATAGGCCTGCTCTATCTGACAGCATGTTACAATTATATCTCCTTTGGAGATAAGTTAAAGCAACTAAAAAAGGTCGCTTTCAAAATAAGTTTTCTCTTGGGATTTTACCTGTTTTAGATACGCATGTCACCTGATAGGGGAGCATGTGTACTTCCCGTTGATGCAGAAAATGGAGTTGCAGCAAAAAACTACATGCAAAAAAAACTTGTTTGCGGTTGGAGACTGAATGTCTATCAACAGGGTATAAATATGTACTTTAAGAGTCAGTAGGTATCCCTTTCTTGAAGGATGTGAAACTGCAGCCGTTTTGTCCCAAGGTAAATCAATGGTTAGACGAAGTTGGTTTGCCAGCGATTTACTTTAACACCGGACGTATATGTGACCTCCAAGTCATGACTTTTGTTTTGGAAACTTGTATCTCAGAAATGACTTATATATTTTATTGATCTGCTGTCCCTATTGCAGCACTTGGGACCTATATGTTTGAAAGGACACGTCTGTTTGACTTCTAATTTTCCAGGAAATTGTTGTTTCATTTCTGAAGTTTCTAAACGTCAAAGAGTCAACAGAATTAAGCCCTGCATGTCTATCATTTCTCTCTCTCCTACCAACTTCTCTCTCTCTCTGTCTACATAGGCACTTATCGTCATGTGACAGTGTTTTTGTTGCTACTCAAGTTGGACTCAATGAAATATTGACTAAAATCTTCTCCTGTTTTATTTGCAGTTTAATTGACCAATCAACATTGCCTGTCCGTAGTAATACTTGTTTTCAGATTTTTGCAAAAGGAGATAAATATGACATTTATACACAAGTTTTTATTGTATTTTATTAAATATCATAATATTGATTGAAATATCAAGGGGCTATGGTGCCCAGAGTGGTTAATATGTCTGGTAGTCTTATATATAATAATCCCTAGCCCTCCACCACTGGCTCACATGTTCGAGGCCTATGTGAGGCAGTCGTCAGGTCTTGGCCGCAGGTCAGTGTTTTTTTCTCCGGGCACCCCGGCACGTTCTTAAATGACCATTCCTGTTAATATGACATAAAACACAAACAAATCAACAAAAAAGTTTTGAAATATCAGCTTGAGCTACATCACTTTAAGCTGGTCCTTCATTGATGGACTATACTTTTTACATAACATAGATTTGCACAAGCTGCAGTAGAAACAACAAACTACATTGAATTTCACAGGTTCCCATGAAAGGAAAAAACAACGTGTTAATTGATGATGTATAAGTATTGAATCTTGACATCATTTTCATTGGGTAATGAAATTGAGTTGGTCTTGAGTAGTTTCAATAGATCTGTCTCAATACCAACTCAAGCCATCACCCCATGAAAAATACATAATTAACTTATGTGAAGACATGAAACCCAGAATATAACAAGATTAACCATAAATTGTGGTACACATATGTAAGTGAGAATGAAATGTATCACAATATTTAATGAATACTACTAATTGTTGCAGCCCTATGATGTAGATTTCACACGTGCAACCTTTAGACTATTGTGTTACTATATTTAGACATTACGTTTTTCTCTTATATTTTTACAGGGTATCTACTGTTCAAAGACTTCTGTGAAAATGTATGTGACGAATCGGTCCCCCAGTTGAGATTCTATGAAGAGGTATGTAAATTTATTTGTTTCACAGTTCTGTACTGATCAACAACAACAACATTACATGTACGTGTATATAAACAAGCAATGATCGATGTTGAGATCTTGCTTTTTGTAAAAACTGTTAAAAAATAACCTCTGAATGACATACTATGTTGTATTTTTTTTTCTAGCATTTAGATTGGATACAGACTCTTAACTCATTGACCCCTGAATACACATTTGAACTCTTCCAATTCAAAGGTTGGAATAGTACATTATAAAATTTCAGGGGTGAATGGGTGAAGATGACTATGCTAAAGGCGAACAAGGCCTGGTGTTGTGTGTTCAGTCCTGATAGTATTGATTCCTGATGTATGATGTTTAATGAGAGATACTGTTTTGTCCGTGGATATACATTGTAGTGTCGAGTGAGTGTTAACAATCACGAATGGAGATATTGCTCGGAAAGTTAACCCACAATAACATTTTGTTTGTGTGGAGAAATTGTTTTACTGTGACAAGATCAGCATTCTAGTGAAGATGTAATTACGATGTACATTTTTAAGGATTTTCGCACCAGTGTCGTGTGTGGCAAAATAAACGAGGAAATCGTAATGTTCTAACCTTTTTTTGCTGTTAAAAGTAACGTGACCCGTACTAGTGTCATTCCAATTGAGTGAGTTAGGAAATAAAATGGAGCAGGGTAGAAATTACGGCCTGAAACGAGTATCACTCACTGTAGACTTATAGATCTATCATCATGTCATTGATTGCTAATGTATTGGTTTTAGAATTACTTAAAGACTAGGATCCAAATTGCACCTTCTGTATTTTTCGTATATTACGTGATAGAATTAGAAATCTGTCGGTTATATATACATACAATTGCAGTGCTCAAGTAAATTTTACAATAAAATTTTCTCACTGGTACTTGATAGAATTAGATATCTATAGATCTGTGGGTCATGCATAAAATTTGCGGTGCTTAAGTAAATTTTACAATAACTTTTTCTCACTCATACTTGATGGATTATTTATTTTGACTCTTACAGTACATGTCCAAATTTAACTCCCCTACAACACAACCACCCTTCCATACCCAGTATATAGCTATAGTGTGTGGACTAGTACACAGAATTTTGGATCTGTGTATAGTTATATTGAATGCACAGACAGAAAAACTTTGTTATACTGCCACCATTTTCCCAGCTTCATTTTGGCATTATAAAGGGATCTGTCAGTTTTTTAGGGACATGTCTGAAGGACTTGTTTAAAGAAAAACATTTGAAATGGAGACCTTGAACTATGCCACCATTTGTCTAGCTTCATTTAAAGGAGCCCTGTTAGTTTATATGGGGAGATGTCGCAAGAAATTGTGGAAAAAATTGAAATAGAAACCCAGAAATACTGTATCCTGGGAAATTTTCACCCTTCTCCAATGAAATCGATTTTCACTTATGGCTAATTTCTCCCTTCCCTTTAATCATTTTGTTTATAATGCTGTTGATATTCACTTACGGCTAATTTCTCCCTTCCCTTTAATCATTTTGTTTATAATGCTGTTGATATTCACTTAGGGCTAATTTCTCCCTTCCCTTTAATCATTTTGTTTATAATGCTGTTGAGTTATATTCACTATAAAGATCAATTGCCCTTCATTAGGGAGGGCGAAAAAGGTGAAAAATGAAACTGCAGCGAAAAGAGGTATGGCGGAAAACTGCCCGTATTTCCCTAAGTCGGCATTTTTGAAAACGGAAAAAAATACTGATGAGTAAATAATCTTTAGTAGCAAAAATGCATGGAATAGATATAAAACCAATTGAATATGAATTTTGGAACTGTTTAGATATTCGGTATTGTTGATATAATACTGCAAATATAGCCATATTCACTATATCTATGAAAGTGAAAGGGTTTCCCAGACTTAAAAAAATACTTTCAATACTTTCCCATCCAAGGACCAACTTTTGAATAAACATTTTGATTCCGTGATGTAATATGCAAAAACAAATCGTATGACGGAAAAGTGGTCCTCCTTTCGGAAAGTGCTCAAAATAATGAAAAACTGGGTTGATCAAGTTTTTAAAACTGCGACAGATGTTTCTTGGGTTAAAGCAGTTTGTATTTCCCTTTTTGTCTATGTCCGATGTAGCCTAATGTGTAACGCAGTTAGCTTGTGACCAGAAAATGTGAACAGTGTAGGTTCGAATCCACATTCAGGGTCACTTTTTTGTTTTTTACTTTTGTTTAATATTTAGGCATGTGATAATTTTCCTTAATTAAGTGATAAATATTTTTCAAATTAATGGAACATTGTATTGATATTTTAATAACATACCTATTGATTTATCTTCTATGGAATCATGTCAACAAATCCCTGTATGCGTGTACAGTACAGCTACGCTTTGTAGTTGAGACATCATTTTAAATGATATTTATGAAATGTTTTACCGTCCAATTGGCACTAGTATTTTCATTTATTATCTTAACGCAAACAAACGATGCCGAAATACAAAATATATGGGATTGGTACAAAGCAAAAAAAATGAAGTGTTATTATCGAAAAGATATTACCGAACATGCGGGAAAATTCATCGTCGAGGCCAGTCTCATTTGTTTTAAATGCAGGAAGACTGCAGCACAAAGTTAGGAGCGCAATACACGTGTAAGACAAGCTATTCGAAAACTACATGTATATGTAATTTTATCATTCCGAGTTAAAGAAAGAACAAAATCAAGATGTGTGTTTTAAAAAAAACAAGTAGCAGCATGATGTAGCAGTAGTAATGAAAACTAAATCCTTTCAAACTTGTTGGTAATGAATGTACGATCTTGTGTTTTATACAGCATAACGCAAAATACGCATCTATTAGTAGCCATGGCCTTGAATTCGTCTGTTTACAATAATCTATTCTTAGACACGGGATTCCGATCGAGCTTCCTGTATAGAAATACCTGAGGACGCGTCATAACAGTGCACTGTTTGGAATTGAAACAGGTGGTGTATATAAAGTATTTTAACTGCACACAAAACGATCCAATTGTCATGGCCTTGGATACCTGTCACAGGTAAAAAAGTACCTAGGTAGACATGTGATAAAAAGACATTATGATGGTCTCATTAGGTAATAGGATATATACTTATATATATAAAGTGAGGATGATCCAATATCAAAAAGGTTAACTCATTCACCCCGGAAGGCACATTTGAACTCTTCCAATTCAATGGTTGGAATAGTTTATTATGAAATTTCAGGGGTGAATGAGTTAATCTTTTTGCAGCGGGACATTTCATAAGAGACAAAACAAATACTGACAGCTAGTTCTATACTTGTAGGTATTGAATACTCCTATATCATATAACACGAAAACACATATGTTGACCTTTAAATATGGATCATGTCTTTTAGCATATCTGTCCAACCATGATGCTGCAGCTTTACAGACGTAATATATATTTATAGCATATAGGAGTGGGCAGAGACGTCACGGGAATAGGAGGTTTGTTACAGTGTTATTTCATATATGTAATAAACCTCGTATTTCCGTGACGTTTCTACACCTATAGCTAACCTGATCAGTAAAGCATCACAGTATTTACGTGACAAAGTGTTATAAACAGGACTCTATTCATTTCTTACCTTTAATTAACCGCTACCGTATTTATCCAGCAATAGGCCCATGCCTGGTAATAAGACAACCAATATCTATTGCAGTTCAAAAGAAATGGCAGCAAATGTATTTTCATTGTCCTGTAATAAGCCCACCCACCTCCACTGAGTCAGAGTTTGTGTTGGGCTTGTTGCAGGAAAAATAAGTGATGAATGTGTGCTCTACAAATAAGCCTCCCTTTCATAGTAAATGGGCATACAAATAAGCCTCCCTTTCATAGTAAATGGGCATACAAATAAGCCTCCCTTTCATAGTAAATGGGCAAGCAACTCAAAGTTAAAACTATACCTAAATTTTGGAACTCTTCTTTTTTGGAGATGCGAAACAAAGCAATAAGACACTCTACCTTAAGTGGAAATTTTACAGGGATCTCTTTGGGTACGACATTTATATTAATCTCAACAAATACAGGTGAAGATTACTAGGTAAATCAGTCACAAAGCTTGGGACTTGCTATAAAGCTTTTGGTCTCTGGTGTATGTTTATATATAGCGGTAAAAAAATAAAAACGTCCATGCGACCGTAGAAATATAAATAAAACAAAACACTAAAGGCTAAATTTTGCAAGTACTTTCGCCCATCTTTGGTCTTTTTTGCTGGTAGAGCCCAAAGATGGGCGACTGCACTAGTGAATTATAGTCTTCGTTGTTTTGTTTTATTTATATGTATAAGATTGGAGGGTATGTGTGGACTATTTATAGATCCAGACGGTATCTACATTTAGTACACTCTGCTATATACCAGGGATGGTTTGTGACTGGAGGTCACAGCTATAGAAGATGATAATCAATTTTAAGAGAGCTGACCTGTAGCAGCAAATAAAGTTGATTATATTTGTGATAGACATGGTCAGCTAGATCACCTATAAATCTATCATGGTTTGTAGTGGTAATGGATTAGTTGTTCATTGACATGGATGAGTCTAATACTGTTAACGGCAATATTTCACTACCCCTAAGGCCACCTGTCAAATTTGCAAGCCTATGTTCTTGTTATAAATTTTTCTCTATATTTGCTTTCATATTATTTCTTTTTGGTAATTCTATTGCTGTATAAAATAATTCGTTCCATATTGAACTCATCATTTTTTTGGAGGATTGAAATGGCAGACATTTCCCGTTTTACAGAATCATGTATAGTAACGGAAAGGTGAACGTTAAAAAAGCTGGGCTTACCAGTCTTAGCATAATTTTTCAAAATTTAAACTTGTAAAAGATTTTGGAGGTGAAGCTTGCATACAGCTGTGTATCACTATGTTTTCATGAGTATGAAGCTTAACGTTAATTGAATATTGTATGTAATTTTTTTCCTGACAACATAATTTTGTCTTAACTTTTGTATGACTGACTTAACTC